CAAATAATAATAAACTACAAATAATTATTAAATGTAACTTTATTGCAGAATATACAATTTCCTTTACTGGAGTGTTTGTACAAAATCACACACACATGCACAGAGATAGCATCTGTATGATCCTTACCTTTCCTGTTGCTTAAAAAGTTCTTTAAAATTCAAGACATGTTTCTAAACAAGTCAAAAACATTTAAGATGCTAGTTGAAACAGAAGAAGAAATACAATACAAAGAACTGAAGTAAGTCCAGTGTTTTTTTTTCTTTTAATATTTGTCTTTAAATATATTGTTTTTCCCAGCCAAGGGGGTTGGATTCCAGTCTTCTGGCTACTGAAAAGAGCCACTTCAAATTTAAAAGGTCTGATCCCACTTGACTCCCTCTCTCTGGGTACCCTGGCACCTGTCCTCAGCCTCACAGAGATCCCAGACACCAACATGCCAACTCACAGAAGACAACTCCTATAGGCTGGAGGCTACCTGTTCCACAGTTGTTGAGTCTTTTAAGCCAGAACCTTACTCTTCCCACTCCAGATGGTTATTGTTCTTGGATGAGTTGAACGGTACACTTTGTTAAGTAGGAATCCTACACTTACTGGGACTGGAAGTAACATTCTACTGAAGAATTTTTTTAAGATCAAAATAAGCTCTGGACCAGTTCTATTAAAACACAACCTTATGCAAGGAAGTCAATACGGTGCAAGGCTGTGAGAATACAAGAAGACCCAACAACCCCCAAACTTTCTGGTTTAGACTTCACAGTGACTACTCAGGAAGAGACATGAAGGCCAGCTGACACAATCCCACACTCTCACTACTATACTCTTTCACCTTCCGTAACATGGAGGCTGCACTCAAAGTTTTGTCTGTTCAAGATTGTCTATTGCTCACCTTAACTCCTGAGCTACTAGGAATGAGCCAGACAAAGACTAGCTGGCACAGGCCCAAGTTATGCTGAGGAACACATTAACACTTGAACAGTAGAAAGAGTAGTATTCCAGAGATGAGGAATATTCCTAGTCTTTGTTTAATTTTAGGGTATACATTTAGCCTGTAAGTCCTTCCATTAATGAAAATGAGCTTTGAACTAGGTCCTTAGAGGGCCAGTGACATTTGAAGGATGGGAGAGGGATACAATCAATTTAAATATGCATTTGCAAATTTACAAAATATTATAAACATGTAAGGTAGTTCATCTATCTTCATCAGGCTCTAAAGCTGTAAATACCAGATGTCATTTATAGATTAAATGATTTTCCTAAATCTAATTTTATATTAATACAAACCATTTGTCAATTCAACATAAAGGTTTCTATTTTAAACATTCAAAAGTCATGGAATGCAAATGTTAGGGTTATGCCACTGATTCATTGCACAAAACATAAATTAAGATATAAACTGAACAGAAAAAATAGTTTGCCTGAGAGGTGCTGAAACAGATCTGTTACTGACCTGCTCATGGCATTTTCACCTCTGCTTATTTTGTAAGATTCATCCTTCTGGGGAAAAGCCTCTCAAAACCCCTGTTTCAATAGCCTGATCTCCTGCAGATGTGAAAATCTGACAGTAAACAAAAATTCAGCATGCGCAAGACAGCTTTGACATGTGAATTCATAAGAAAAGGAAATCTGCAATTTAAGAGGGACATTTGCTCTTCCTGCTCACCTTCAGTAGCGATAATTTCAAAATCATAGAATAGTTAAACACTGTATGCCTTTATCTTCATTATCACTTACAGACCAATCCTTTCAAAAGATCTTCAAAGTAACTGGCAAATATAACAAGTGTGTCAGCAAGTATTTAAAGAAATTGAAGGAAAACATATCATCCTTAGACAAAAAGAAAGTCTTAAAATGTAACAAACACTTGGCTGATTCATTTTTCACCATGCTACAGGAGGATAAGATATCACAGAAGGTGATATTATCCAAACAAATTTGAATACTTGTATTTGATGCTACTGTTTTCAAACTTTATAATGTCATTAAGTCATTTGGCTTTAATAAAATGGGCAAATCTAAACATATAATTGTTTAAGAGCAGGGTTTTGCCAACCTGTATGTCTCAGAATCCCTAATTTTGAGGTCCCAAAGGAATGGTCAATACAACTGGCAATTAAAAAGGAATAACACAGTTCAAAGTGACCTTTGTCATGTCCAGTCTGCATATTTGGAGTCTGATTACAACAACTGAACTGTCAGGCAAAAAGCAACCAAGGACATCTCTGCCCCTGAGGCTATTGTGGACAGTCAGCTCCGTGGAGTTAAATACAGGAACCCTCTTGACCACCAGGATTTTCCCTCTTTGCTAGTCAGCATCAGCACTACAAGAACTCACTCTTCTCTTGAGAATGAGTCCTTACTTTGAAACCAGACTAAAATAATTTTTTTTTTCATTTTTAAGATGAAGGACTTATATGATTATCTATCTATGAATACAGGCTCGATACATGCAAAGAGCAATGCCAGCAACACTCCCTAGATAGAATACTTCTGTTTTAGTATACAGCGGCAGAAGAGTTGTATTATAGCAGCTCCTTAACTTAAGTGAGCTATTCCAGTGAACAGAATCCCTATTTTCTAGAGTTTGCCAGCATAGTTATGACAGAAGAAGGAACACAACACAGGTAAATGTAAAGTGAAGACAGGACAAAAGGCAGAACCAACAACAGAGGAACCCTGACAAACATCCATGAGAGAGACCCTCTAAACCTTGACTGCAATAGAGTTGGAGTTATGAACAAATTATGCATTCCTTAGTTTCATGTGTACATGGAAACATATTTTCAACATTTACATTACTTGATCACAGGTATCAAACTGCCACTGAAATTTGGAGCTAAAACTCTTTTGTTTGTTCTTACTGAGTCTGTAGTTTGAAGAGATAATTTTGTCTACTTTCTGATAAATATATTTTTATATATATATATATATATATAAAATGAATGAGTCCAAGACGTAGGTTATTCTGTTTACTTTTGAAGCAAAGCATAACCAGATTTTCATGGCATAGATGTTTATCATGTGGGATTTCTCCACAGGTCATGAAATGTAAAAATCCCCCCAACCAAAACCTGAAACATAAAAGCAATAGACTGGAGAGGCATCTGAATATTTCTGCCTTGAAGAAGGAATGTGTTGTATCACATACCTCATATATGATCTATTCACTGTGTATGAAAACTCTTTGATTTTTAAAATATCTGTATTAAAATATAAAAAATAAAAAATTTTACATACAAGAGAAGATTCCAGTTTGAAATGAAGGTCTAAACCAGCACCTGTCTTAAAGAATTATATAAATACCTTTATATTTTCATTCATAAAAATATCAGAACAGGAGATAATAAAATCTCATTAATGTACAATGCTTTGTATTGCATCTCAAATGACTTTCACAGCAAGAAACTTGCCCTACTGATATCCAAGCATATGCGGTAATACTAAGCAGAAGGAAGTATAAAATCAAATCATTTCTACCACATCATTACATAATTTATTCTCAGATATACCTTGAGAATTATTTTAAATATTCAATTAAGCTGCATTTGAATTTTACCAAAGATTATTTCAGTTCTTATCACCTTTGGATGCCTGTTCAAAATGCTTACTGCTAAGGCATTAAATATATCCTCCCATATTGTCACACTGACTGTAGGGTAAATGAGTCTATGATGATTTCTCCCTCCAAGGCTCAGAATATTAAATTAAAATCTAAAAGAAACAACAACATTGTTTTCATATAACCAGGGGCCTCTCCAAACATAAAATACATTTGCATAGTTCCAGACTCACTGAGGAGGAAGTAAGTTGACTTATTCACATAAAAGCTGCAGTGATGTGTTCTTATACTCTGTCAAGCTACAAATCTGAAATTTGCCTGAAGGCAAATTGAATTTTTCTGTATCCATAGCAATAATATAAAACAAATCTACATAGCTCTTTATCGATATCACAGTCTGTTTGTCTTCTAAATTTAAACAACCTTTAATCTGACAGCACATTGCAAATTTTTCGTTTCTGCCTTCATCTATTGCTTAAGTACAACATATTCTGTGGAGTTCTTACCTTTTAAAGTGATACCTGCTTCCAATTAACAGCATTTCAACACAAAATTGCTCAAGAGTAACTAGACAGTGTTGATCCAACCTTTAAGTCATGACTTAAGTATTTCAGTGGAGGGCTTTCTTTTTTTTTGACTAAGGACTGCAAAGTGTTTGGGGTTTGTTTGGAAATATTAATAGCAGCAGTTTTTCTTGTTCATTAGAAAATGCTTTCTTTTTAAAGTTTCCTCCATAAATTATCTCAATCCTTCTCTACCATGGCCAATGAATTAGAACCATATTGTAACATTGCATCATCTATATAGCTGTAAAATAGATTTAATACAATCAAGAATAAATCATTGACAAATAAATTCAATAAACCTGGTCTGAAGACTGAGTCTTGGCGGACATCACAGTCCATTTCAGCCAAGCCAGATTCCTTGCCCTGTACAACAAATCTGTGTGCTCTTCTTGTTAAACAGTCATGAATCTGAGTTAAGTGACTTATCCTCAAGAGCATCATAGTATTATCTCCTCTAATCAGCATTCTAGAGTCAATCAAATCAAATGCTTCTGTGAAAATTACAAAATACGGTGCCAATTCTTTGATTCCATCCAATACCTGGTCACTGGAAATACTCCTATTAAAATGCTAGATGCCAAAAAATATTCTTGGCATGGTCAGGAAAAAATGAAAGTCACAGATCTGAAGACTTGGGTTGAAATTCTGCCAATTAGAGGGACAGGAAGAGAAAAAGACAAGATATTTTTATTCTCTTACCTACTGAGAACTAAGTAAAATTAACTGAAATTACTGAAAATCAGCTCAGACGTGGCCTTCTGGGAGTTGATTGCAACATTAGGCATCACCCAGAGTAAGGTGAAATTCTTTGCATTGACCCTTATTTTGGCATAGCTAAAATGAGTTAATTCTTTCTTTTTCAGAAAGTATTTCAACATTCTTGATTGTCTACCCTAAACAAGAAAGAATATAAATTCTCTGAAGAGCTACTAGGGGGATTTTTTTGCCCTTACTCTACTACAGAAAAGGTGAAGGCATTGCCATTATCTTTCTATGTGGCTGAAATCACAATCAGGTAAGTTTCTACTTGGTGAAATGAGGAGAAAGGAAGGTAGATCTTTTTTTTTATTCCACACTCTAGGAAGTAGGCAGACTTTAGCTATAATTGTCTAAGAAATTTCCAAGTAACACTTCATAGCATTTTTTATTTTTCCCTGGCTTGCAGTTTAGATATTTTTGTTGCAAATTAAACTATCTCACCTAGAAAATAATCACTTGAAATGATCCTTAGTTCAAGAGATTATCTGTGCAATAGTTCAAGTACAGGTACATTTGTTATAGACAATTCCTAAAGTTGAAAGGCCTGACAAAAACCATGGAATCTACAATATACAAAAGAAGTTAAAAAAAATCATATCTATGTGTTACATAAGTAGGATTCAGGAATTTTATTTTGTAAAGAAGAAGATTAGTGGAGAGTTTACTTTTGTTAAAATCTGTCACTAAGAATTGAGGTTAATTCTGTCCCTTTCAGTGATGCACTTTTAAAATTCATTTTGTTTTATATTTGGAGAGCTTTTTAAAATTCTTTGTCCTGAAAGTAATCAAAAATCTAATCAAGTTCATTGTTATTAAAAACAAAAATTGTCCAAACATTTTTTGTTTATTTGTTTTTAAAAGAAACAATCACTGTGGTGAAATATCTGCAAATGACATTAAAATTTAGCTGAAAGCAGAATGTCCTCTTTCAGCTGTCTGAAAGGCCCTGGAAATCTATACATTACTTTGAAAGGATCCACAAGAGTAACTAAGAAATTAAACTGTAGAAAATAAGCTGTGATTATTATATGTGACTGAAAAATATAGGAAAAATTTGCAGTTCTGTTCCATTATGAAGGGAGGACAGAAGCCAGGTATGATATCTTCATGACTTAAATGGCAGTAGACATACATTTAGGCAAATAAATTGTGCCTATCTTAGCAAAAGACTCAAATGTCAATTTAAAAGGGTTTACAACTTCACTTATTTAGAGGTTTGCTATTTAAAGACAGACTTAAATGAAAATAATGCCAAACTTTTTACTGTTAATTTACTTTTTCCTTCCGTCTCATCTTACATCCTTCATCATGCACACCTGACATTTTATCATGAAGTATGAAGGTCTTTGCATACACTGTATATGGAGATTGAGCACCTTGATCAGTATTGTGAATTCCTCTCCTAGAACAGTGCATGTAACGTCATTCTTATCATTCTTCTGGTAAGCAAAATATTACTTATTTCTTTTTACCTAGTCTTTAGTGGCAGAGCATGGCTGGGGTGTGGAAGCAACTCCTAGGTCCTAGTCTGGATGATCATGATTTCATCCTGGTTTAGGATGACATGTGAGAAACGCAACACTACAACCTTTCCTCTTCTCTCTGGTTTTCATGGGAATGAAAATGGGGACATTAGGCTGGATGGAAAATATTATGATTTCCCCAGTTTGAAGAACAGGTCACCAGAAGCCAAGACGAATTTTAGGCCTTAAAATTTTTAACTCCTTATTCTGTTTTTGTAATACATAGATTTACAACTGGAAACAGAGGCTAAATAATAGGATTCTCAGGTGTGAAAATGTTTGAGTTTTTATATTAATTATATAATTAAAAACATTCAGAATCAATATTTAATGTCCTCAACAAATTACATTTACATTATTTCAGGCATGTGATCTTTAAAAAGCAAACTGAAAGTAAATTTAACATATATTGACAAATATTAAACTGGGAAATGGCCACATCTGCCTGTGAGCCCATCAGATTTAAAGGGCCTAAAGCAGAAAATCACTTTTTGCAGACTGGCTTATGCTATAAAATCTGTTTTCACATAGCTGAACAAGATTGAAAATTTATCAAAGACCCTACAATATGTGTGAGTTTAAACCAAGTCTAGCTAAATTTAGGAAATTATCTGACTAATAATGAAATTGGAAGTCCATAGTCTATGTTACAATGATTTTCTTTAGCTGTATGTCTTGTAAAGAAAATATAATACTCTCCAACAGTGTGAACTTTTGGACCACAGTTTCTTTGCTAACACCTACTAGTTTGAGGAAGAGTGGTCTTGGATGTACCATTAAATTTAGGGCTTTGTCATAGAACTGAAATGCACTATTCTGCAGCCACGATTCCTATGTTTTTTATGTGTAAGTCCACTCAAGTAAAATATACATTTTATTGCATCAGTGAAAGAAAATATTTGGAGTTGACTGTATGCAGCACAAAATATTACTATTATTTATATAATGTATACTTTCAACCAGATACCATCCTCAGATATGAATCTGCAGCTGAAATACCTTATGAGAAAGCACAAAATGGATTTTTAAGGTTATAGAGTAATACATTCCATATATCTGAAGCTCAGATGAAGCTTTTTTTTTTTCAGATAATAATCACCAGTACAATGTTCTGTCCATAAAAATCTGTTAAAAATTTACCAGGCTATGATATACATTATCATAACCTTTCAAGAGAAAGCTCAAATGTGAAAATGCAGTTAGATGTTACTGGTAATATATCACCCTGTTCTAGTAAACACATATATTTTATTTTATTTTTTAGATTAGTTTCATCTTGTAAATTACAAATTGGATTAGTAGGTTTGATATGATTGGAAAACAGATTGGCAGTCTATTTAGCATTTTTATTAGTCGTGTAGATTATCTATAGGCTATAGATGACCTCAGTCAACTTAACATTCTTTAGGCAGCCAGACACAAGGCAACATCAGCCAATCATAAAAACATGTACTTGATTATTAGGTCTCAAGATGTGTCAAATCAATACACTGCATCACCTTCAAGGCTAGATATAAGGAGGCGTCTGCATCTTTTGTAACTTAGGAGGCCCAAAGAAAAAATGCTAAAATAAAAACCACAGTTTACAGAAGTGTTCTTTTACACAGATACTGATATTATTGTAATTTCAGCTTTTTATATAATTATCAAATTTTTTACTCTTTGGAACTCTTTGAAGCCTAAAGAAATATAATAAATAAAAATATATTATTAAATAAAAACTTAAAAGGATCACCCTGTTTCTACCATCTCTTTGTCTCCACAATATGTGTATCCAGAATTAAGTGGTCTCTTCTGCTTCTGATTGAAACAAGAAATGGTTTAATATAACCAACGTACTGTAATATATCAAAGGACTGTTTGTAATCATGCTTAACTGATGCCATCACACTTTGTGACCTAAAATTTAAGAGAAAAATATGTAACAGAGATTGTGGTTATGCTGTACTTGCATTATTTGAGTGCTGCACCCACATCAGTAGCAACACAGGGAGGGAATAATTCTTCAAAACTATTCCTTTTCTGCAATTCCTTGGTTTCTGGGTATTTCATAATCCACAGCTGACCTTTAGCACTTCTTGGCTATCAACTTCACCCTGTTATCTGCTGACCTTTCTATCACATTTACCTATCACATTTAGGAAACCAGGACTCTCAATTCCATCTCTAACTAGCTCAAGCAAAGTAGAAAGTGTCATTAACTTCCGTGGATCTGGACCCATGCTTAAAGAAGTTACTCAGAGGTAGAATCTACTTACTCTTCTGAAGCAGCATGATGGTGTCAAGTCTATATCTTTTGGTTATCAAGACAGAATGAAGGAACACCCATTTTTCTTTTAGATCACCTTACAGGTAAACTTAACCTTTGCATGCTTTGGCTATGTCTACAGATTGGATCTTACTAACACAGCATATTTCCTATGGGGGAACTGCAACCTTGAAGCTGCAATATGAATGAAAGAAGACACATCTGTCCCATAGTCATGATCAAAATATGAAAGGCCTATCACACCTTTAATATCTATGAATTTAGTTTTACGTGGTTTATCAGATGTTTCAGTGATTTTTATGTAGATTTTTCCATTTAACTCATCAGAAGACATTTTTCCAAGTTTGTTAACATTTTTCACTTTAAAAGTTAAAATTGATTTTGAGGATAAAACTGTGAACAGTATATTCAGAAAAGCAGTAGATATCTTTATCTTAGCAGATAAGATTTCTAAACCTGCACAAAGTGTTGTTCTAATCAAGTTACTTCAATGAGAAAATATTTGCCTAGTACATCTATATATATCCATATTGATTCATCAGACAGATATTTTTCTCCTGAAGCGAGAGAACAAACCATATATAAAGACAGTAAAAGACAAAATGCAATAATACGTCATTCATTGACACAGGTTAAAAAGTTACCATGTCTTTCTTCTTGAGAACTTTACTCAGGAAATAATATTTTGAAAATATTTCTTCTTGTCAAAACACACCTTTAGCTAATCTTTTTCCTTCCTAGGGGATTCCCACAAGTAGAAGGAAGAATCCTTAATATTCAGAAATTTTTTTAATACCTGTTCACTGAAGACCTTTAGAGGGTCGAAGTTCCAGCATGCTAAACATCCCAGACAGAAAGTCTTGGAAATTGTTTGTTTCTTTTATGGGAAAATACCTGAATCACAGTACGAGTAAAGTTGTTACTGTCATTCAGTTATCACTTTTGCAACAATGCTGGAACTGAGGTGGCTTTTGATACATAATGTATCATACTTCAGAAAGCCTATGCAAGTCAACTTCAATTTTTTTTCTTCTTATTTGATATATAGATTCTCAAACTAAAATATTGTAACTGTTATTTCTAACAGATTAACTACTATTCTGCATAGATAGAAACGTTACAACACAGTATGGAGTTTGAGAATTTTTTTTCCTCCTCCTGCTTAATTAAGTCCCGTAACTCCTAATTAACAGTTCCTAAAGCTTTAGTTTGTCTAAGATAGTAAGCCCTAGAATTTCAAGGGTACAAGGTGCTATGCTAATTTAATGAATAGTTACAAATGAGTTGCTAAGGGATTAGGCCAAGAAAAGCTAAATATATTTAGGAAGGTTTTGTGCTAGTTTTCAATACAAAAAGATCCAAAGAATCTTAGCTGCCTGGAAACTGAAAATCAAGCAAAAATGAACTCCTTTATACCTGACTCTTACAAATGTGTATCCCTTCCTCCTCCCTTCTCACCGAATTTGCTGGAAAAACAAACATATATGACATAACTAACTAACTTTACAAATGTGAGGTTTAATTTCTGCAACCTTAAGTGAAACTTGTTGCTTCATTTGCTCTGTCTAAGGCTAAAGAAAAGCCAGAGATGAGGGGCTAGAACTTTCTTTCCTCTGCTAAATACAGATTTCTGCTAACCAGCCAACCTTTTCTTTGTGACAAGTCATAAGGTAATTTCTCTTTGCTCTGTGAACCCAGGAAATACACATGTATACACTGAAAATGATTGCTTTATCAGAGTGATCCTGGAGAGCATGCCACAGTGTATGATTGGGCAGTTCATTTGCAGTGTCTAAGCATACCTTTCCAGTGTCCTACAGAAATGCACTAAAATATGTGACATAGCAAGAATTGTCCATTGCACAGATCTAAGGGTCCCCATGCTCCAGGAAACATCTTACTGTATTGAAAATCATTCCAGTTATTTAATTACCGGTAAATTTCCTAAAAGTAATCCTGGATAATCATATGATAATACATAACATTTTATCTTTTCTTGTTTTTACTTTGTTTTCCTTAAGGTCTCTTGATAAACATTCTATTCAGATTGCATATCTGAATTACTACTGTGAATTCAGACTTCCTTTGCACCATTTTATGAAAGATGTTATATGAATGGCCTCATTAGAAATCTAAATTCCATACCACTTTGCACTGCAACTTTTGGTTCTCTTCTCTGTCAGACTTCTTCATGATACTTCACATTCACTAATTTTTGCACTTAAATATAGGTATGTTGTCTTGATACTCTATTGCAAAATACTTTATTGTACTTGGAAGTAAATACATTACTTTTGGTGGCCTATGTAACAACTTGTATTACCCCTGTCCCATTCCCCCTTTCTTCCTCTGGTGCCACTGACAAAAAATCAAATAGTCAAGGATTGAGACTAGTTTGGCTTGACTGGTGTTTTGTTAGACAACCTTTTTTCTCTGGTGATTTCCTAGATTAGCTTTCTTCTTCTAGCAACTTATTTTCTGGTCATTGACTCCAGATTATTTTATTTTTGGTAAGAAATCCACAGTAAGCTGGCTCTCAAAAGTCTTCTCTTCTGCAGGCTAAACAACCTCAACTCAGCCATTCTTCACTGAATTGGAGGTCCATCACCCTGATCTTTTTGTGACCCTCCTCTGGACTTGCTCTAACATGTCAACTTCTTTTTTGCACTGGGAGACCTAGAGCTGGACACAATATTCCTGGTGGGGTCTCATGAAAATGGACAGGAGGAGAATCACCTCCCTCAGCCTGCTGGCCAGTCTTCTCTTCATGCAGTTGAGGAAATGGTTTGTGGGCTTCAAGTGAATGCTGCTGGCCAGTGTCCAATTTTTCATCTACCATTATTCCCAAATCCTTCTCTGCAGGGCTGCCCTCAGTTCATTCATCCCTCAGTTTGTACTGATAATTCTGCTTGTCCTAACCCAGGTGAAGGACCCTGCACTTGGCTTTGCTGAACTTCATGAGGTTTACTTGGATCCACTTCCAAGGCCTGTCAAGGTACCTCTTGATGACATCCTCCCTTAAGTGTATCAAAGCACAACTTAGATTGGTGTCATCCACAAACAGAGACATCTGAAAATAGTGGTACAGTAGGATTAACACTGAAAAAAGATCTCCTCTTGAATATATTGTATGACCTAAGATGAATACTGTCAGGAAGGAATAAACTATTTTATCACTATGTCCTTATCATTCAGTCAGTCCCATAAGCCCCTGGGAGCCCTGAAGACCCACACATTTTCACACATACCTCCTGTTTCTTTCATACTTAAACAATACGTTACTTGTCTTTTGGTCTCTGGATATACGATTTTTTTTGTCTTCTTGTCTCTATTATTCTATTTTAAATGTTTGTCTGACAAAATTTATGATCATTTCTACAGGGAAAGATAGGATTTAGCAGTTTGACTCAAGCAGTCTTGCAGATTTTGCCATTTACAAATACTGACTTTTGTCATACATTTTCTGCTATAGGAAGTTACACTCTCCATAATTCTGTTATAACACAGTCAACATATGTCTATCCTGAGTAAAAATTTAATTTTCCCCATGTTTTATATTAGGGCCACTTTGACTAGTTATGCTATTAAAAGAAACAAAAAAACCCAATGAAAAATGCTTTTTGAAATTTGATATTACAGTACTTATTTTTTCATTTGAGTCTTATTCCTCCAATTGTGAAATAATTTATATTGCGGTCACTTCTGCTTAGTAGCCCCAATGTTTTCCAACAATTGCTGTATATTATCACTTCCAATTTACTCCTCCTGTGTGCTTTTAGAATTCATAATCCTGGAAAGAAAGGACACACATTCTTAAACCTGACTTGTTAAGGCACTGCACTGGCTTATGAATGAATCAGGCTATTATTACTATTTAAGTATCAGAAATAGTGATTACTAATAATAGTAAATTAGTAACATCTTAGATCTTTTTAATTGCTAAGCATCCAATATTCTTTTCCTATTTATAAAGTCAGTAGTTCAATGCAACTTACATACATTTATTTTAGTGAACTAACCTTTAAATGTACAGATCTTCATAATCAGAATCCCCTTCACTGACACCTTTCCTTGACTTATGTTTTATGGGACGAGGACCCTCTTTTTTTCTGATTTCTGTCAGTTGCACGACATATTTTGTTCTTTTGCTGCTGTGATGTTCCAGAAACATTGTAACTCATAATGGGTATTATGTATGTTATCCTCTCTTGCCTGATTCTTTGTTTCCTGCTATACATGCTTCAGCTCACCTTTTTATTTCATTTTTAATTTATTGCCTATACTGAAAGCAATAAGCCTCCACCTCCTAACTGTGAAGTATTCTACTTGATTCTGGGTTGGAACCCACACTTCACACGTATCCAATTGGTAATAACCACCTTAATTTTATTAACAAAGCTCTGGTCTCTTCAGCCTTGATCATAAATACCACACCTGTATCAGTGTCTAACAGTATCTGACTCTGGCAAAAGGGAAAACTTTAGAATGTGTACCTATTACTTGGCATATTCTTTAATCCATTTTTATGATTTTCATAAAAAAAAAGCAAAGACAAACTTTTATTAGTTGAAGGTATAACTTCAGCAAGGGTGATGATATGCTTACACAGAGATAGATTTATAATCTGCAAAAAATAACTGTGTAATTTCTATTCTATAGTAAGTATAAGGATGCTAAAATGGAGAAGCTTCTTCCAATTAAAAAAAAGAAATTTAGTATCAGTTGCTTTTTGGATCCCAGAATACTTTAAAGTATTCTGAGATCCAAGTATCATGGATGGAGAACAGAATGCATTTTAAAGTATTATTCAGCATAAAATACCTTTATTATTGACGTTTAACATTTGATATGCAGTTTTTGGTTGACAGAAAGAGACATTGTAAAGACCAAGTTACTTCAGATTGTTTTCAGATAGGCAGAGGACAAAATACTCCATGAGTTGCTATAGACATAAAAAATTTTCTCAAGCAGCTGCTTTGTTTATAGCTCTCAGACACTTTATCATCTTGTTGGTTTTTTTTTTAATGTATAATAATTTCTAAGC